AAAAAWTYYSKTTTTTTTGTGCATTTAGTGGAGTTGTTTGCTTTTGCAGGAATGTGTCGCCGGGACCATAGTTCGCTGCACAACCGACTACGCCGACCGCTGCGCCGCCTTCTCTCGTCGCAGTATCCGCTCCCTGCGCCGGCGTCGCAACGCCGTGCTGCTCATCCCGTGTGGTTCGGTCCGACGCGTGCACAGCAAGGTCAGGGGTTCCAGACCCAGCGTCTGGGTTCGGTGCTCGTTCAGCTTGTGCCCGTTTTCCAGGGTCTCGTGGCTCAGCACCAACGCATCAAAGTTCGGACCTTCTTCGGCGGTGCCCGGGGGACCGTATTCGTTGGCAATCGGTATGAACCGCACCCGGTTCTTGATTCCCGGTGCRAGGCGGTACACAAAATCACGGACCCCCGCCATGCGTTCCTYCAGGTTGGGGATGTCTTCGCTGAAGGATTTATGTTTGAGCATCTCGTCCACCGTCACCCCTATCAACAGCTCGCCACTCAGCGGACTGACCGACGAAATSGCCAGTGTTAGCAATTTGCGGTGCCCGTAGTGCATCCCATCAAAGGTGCCGGCTACCGCTACCTTTTGAAAGAGACTCCCCGAGGGTATGCGTGCTCCACCAATCATGCCACCAAAGCTGGTTTCGTCGTCTTCGTCCCCGTTCGGATGCAGGTTCTCGCCACGCGCGGTGTCTTCGTCCTCGGTGCTATCATCGTCCAGGAACACAACGCTGTTCTCGGCTTGCCATTCCTTCAGTGCTCCCTTCGGCCATGGATCGACGTGGATGGCAACCACAGGCGAAAGGTTCCGATCCTCTCGATCCGCATTGATCGCCGAAACGTGTGCATCCAATCCCCCGGAACCCATTCCCTCGCTGAACTGAAATTGTTTGCCCCGGCCCATGGCCGAGGAGGAGACCCAACCGCATATTGAATCGTGGCTGATTACCGAATCGAGATCTTCGGCAATGTCGTTGATCCACGATTCCGGTGCGGCATTCGGAAGATTCTGCGGATATACTACCACGTCGCAGAAATCGCCACCGTCGTCGTCGCCATCGTAGATTGTCCCGTCGTCCTGGTTGTCGGTGAGCGCTACAGCATCCCACAAAGTAGAGTAGACTTCCCCCACGTATCTCCGCAACCGCGCCAGAGACGGTGCATTGCGGTCGTTTKCCTGGCACCGCAGCACGACACTGAGTTTCCTGGTGTGTTGAATGGCCTGATCCAAAATTGCCTCGTTTGCGATCTTGTCGGTGGAGGTATAGGGCATGGTCAAAATAGCCAGTGTATGTTTGAACTTTAGTTTTGGATTTTTGCTCCGTGTTTCATCATTGCTGTTCTGGGCCCGACAGCGCGTCGCCAACCTCGAGTTAYCAGTATTGGTGATGGTCGGCAGTGAAACTAGAGGGGATTTCTTACCAGATTGAARCTTGGGGTGTAATAATGCTGCGGATTTGGTTGCAATGAACGAGGATCTCAAAGGGAAACCGTGCGCTGTCAATACCCTCAAGGAAAGGGACAGAAGGATAACACACGATAGCAACGACGAGGAATTCCAATGCGGTTGCAGCGAAACCGATGGATTCTGTTGTTTCCTTCGAAGACGAGAGGAGGATCGTTGGCGTTTTGACGTTGTAGAGCCACACATTTTTGGACCGTGGTTCCTTGTGATTTTTCGACCAATCCCTGRGATTCCTCTTATCTAGAGGCAGCACTGACTTGCTCGGAAGTTGATTCGATATAACCGTGGAATGCTTGCTGCGTAACCGGTGCSGCACAGGTGCGATATCGCTCGACGTTGGTTGTGATCAGGTGAGCAGTCGATTGATATACGGTACAGTACCGTACGGTGCGGTAGTTCCGGAGGGTCGTCACCGATGCTCAAAAACTAAAAAAATATGTGACGGCTTGAAGCTGCTCGCTCCTCYTGTCTACCGTGCAAGTTCAAAACAAAATGTCATCAGTTATCCCCACGGTATTAGTACATTCGCGCAAGGCGCAAAATATAGCACACATGGCAAGTCGATTGAGTCAAATAATGAATCAAAAGGGACTCGACTCGTGGTCCGTTATGATGCGAAAGAGACATTTTCCACTWTCTTGTTTCGAGAGCTTCTTCTGAAATGCCAGAAACGAGTCCGAGTATTGTACCGTACGGTACGTACGTACCGTACGTCATTTACGGTATCGAACGTATTATTATTCGTACTCGGTTTGGAGCTTGTCGATCTTGCAACAACACACACCCGGTCGACAAGAAGCAAGTACATACCGATTAACCTCGGCTGTCACCGGTCTCCGCCCACTCGACCGTCCGAAGCAATCACGCCGTCTATCTTACGAATCAAAGCCCATACCAACGGACAATGTTATTTCCAGGCACAACCGCTGCACTTTTTTTGTCGACATTGGCTGGTGTTGTTCACGGAACCCCACATTTTTTTGTGAACAGTGGGAAACCTCGGTGCTTTGCTGTTGAAGTCCCGAGAGAGACGACGATACAGCTTCACTATGAAGCTCCAGGTACGTCGCGCAACGCAGCATGACGTTCTTCTAAAGAGATTAGATGCACTGCAATGTGGAACGCTGGTCCGTGTGTCTTTGTGTTAGTTGCAGGATGCTTCGCGGTGGAATGCCCTGCGAGAATGATACGACAGTCATGACTCGCTTCGCTTCGTCTCGTCTCGATTGTTTGGGTCCCCTGGTTCCTTGCACCCAAACACTCACCCGTCTCGAATGGCTTCTTTCACACAAACAAACAGACATCGACACCGCTACCGGATCGGTGGACTATGCTCCGACGTTCATCACCATCCTCGAAAAGGCCGTCGAAACCGTCGAGGAACAACGGCTCGAGCACGCAAACGACGCCGAGAGCCTCAAGGCGCGCCGGGCCATGATCGCCGATCGCGTCAGACACAACGTGCGGCCCGTCTCCAAAGAGATCACCGAAACGGCCGGGAGCTTTACCCACACCATGMACTCGGACGACGCCGTTGTGGAAGTGTGCGTCCGAGCCTCCAATGCCGGGAAGGAAAATCCGATGATGTTTCACCTGCGTGTGGAGGAACTGGAAGAAGACGTCSTCGACGCCTTTCAGCAAGAAAAGGCGAAATTGCTGAACAGCCCACCGCTGGTGAACGTCGAGCACCACTGGTCCTTTATGGAAACCCAGCTGAACCGAATAGATCACGAGATGAAAACCATCACAAGGGAGGCGGATTTCTTTCGGGAGCGGGATGCCCTGTACCACCAACAGACGGACGACCTCCACAAGGCAACCTTGTTTTGGCCGATGCTCCACTGCTGCATTCTTGCCCTGACGGGCTTTACACAGGCGAACCACATTATCAGTTTTTTCAAGCACCGACGGATCATATAGATCATATAGGAGGGCAGCACGGAAGTGTGAAACACAGAACAGTTGAGCACAGCACAGCATGGCACAGCACAGCATGGCACAGCACAGCATGGCACAGCACGAACTAGCGCAGTGCTGAGTTGTAATTCGAGTCACGGCAGTTGAAGCTAGAGTAGCTACAGGAGTACGAAGAAGTTAATTTTTCAGAGGGACTAGACAAAATCTAAGACAAAATCTAAGAATCGATGGGACTGTGATGGTATAGTTTTTAGATTTTATTGCAAACAGCATAATCCGCTSATCTGAATCACTGTTAGAATACGTTGTTCATAGTTCAGTACATTCAACGCAAACGACAGGAATGAGCATTAGTGCCGTACGCGTCAAACGACTGATGGCAGTGAAAAAGATACARAAACTACCGTTTTATTKTMATTTTCTTTCACCTCGTTGAAATTTGACAGCMATAGCCCATCAGAAATATCTGGTTCTCTATAATTCCTTCTTTTWAATTATGTTTMATCYCTTGTATGCAACATTACAATCATACAAGATAATAATTATTGTGTAAATATATGTTTTGTCCATCACCCCCCTTAGTGCTGAACATCAACCGCAGAATCAACTCTTTGCCGTTTAGGAGTCGACCCCTTTTTCGTAATATCCRCTGCCATGCTTTCTTCCTTAGTTGGGCGTTTGGTGCCTTGCTTGACCGATGACTTTGGTACCAGATTAGTAGAAATTTTCGTGAAAGGACTGCGTTCAAAAAGACGCTCTGATTTCTTTAATGACATTGGGTCTCCACTACCGATCGAAGGAGATTTAAACGGTGTAAAATCAGTGGTCTCTCCGCTTGGAGAAAACTTTCCCCAATCGAATCCAATAGGAGTCAATGGTCCAGAGAATGGACTCATTCCTGATATTCTGGAGTTGATTGAATTTTGTGTGACAGCCATAGGTGTTTGCCCGCCGGTCTTAAAAGGAGTAGTAGTAGCTGGATCTGTGACCTCAGCATTTGTATTTGACACAGTGTTTGTGACCTTACTTTCGTTTTCGTTTTTCTCGGCGAAGTGAATAGAACGAGTAACACTTTGTGGCATCTTATCGCATTTTAATGCTGACTCAAGACCAATATCGTCGGACTCTGCTGAGTATTTCTTGTATCCCTTCATTGACATGGGAGATATAGATACTCTATTCGATTTCATGCGTTTGATAAAGGCGCTATTTGAGGCAGCTCCAGTCATACCGATCGAAAACTTCATTTCGCGAGGAGTTTTGAGGTATTGACGGCCATCGTCATCAGCAAACAGAGCCTTGTTGAGACTGATATTTTCTTCAGGTGAGAGCCCATTGAACACTTCATCGTTTCCCCCATCATAGAAAGATTCAAAAGCACCACGCAGAGTAGACAAAGGAGTTGTCCCATGGATGTTCAATACATCAGGACTATTCAATCCCATCATGTGAAGATTATCTGTTTGCTTTGGAGAYAGGGGTGACGACTTCTGAGCACTTGTAAGAAATGACACCGCAGGATCAGGACTTTTGTCTAGCTTTGAAGTGGGAACAGGCACACCATAGTTGTACTTTCCATCTTTTGAAGGAGTCTTCGGTTTATCTACAGACGCTAGTGGTCTAGGAGCAAGCGGAATRTTTTTTCGTTTACTCCCTGCTTGAGGCTTTCCGTACGATGATGGTTGATATGGCATGAGGTTTTCTGAGCCTTGATGGGGGTATGCCATTTCACGTGCGTACATCGCATGGTGAGGRGGCATACCAGGATATGGAGGTGGTGCCATTCCATACGGCATATAATTGAGGGCCATCGAGACTGGTCCCAATTTGTGATGTTTATCYCTTCTGTTTTTCTTTGCAGTGCTACTTTTCTTAGCTGTAGATCTGCTGCGATCGGCTTTGGTTTTCATTCTTCCCGAACTGTCTCTTCCCCGAACTGCATTTAGAACACCWTCYAAATCACCCATGAAATCGAAACGCCCATCTTCAGTGTAACGAATATTTGTCTCGTCCACACCTTGCTTCTTCGCGAGATATTTCTCAATTTTTCTTCKCATGGAAGAATTCCAATGGTTTTTGATTGCATTATCCGTTCTGCAGATAGAGAAAATTGTAYATTTTTGCAGTSAGTAATTTGCAAGCCAATCGAAAAGAGTAATAGAATGTAACCAAGCCATTAACAAAGAAAATAACMTACCTTCCGGGTAACATCTTCGCGATTTCTGCCCATCGGTTCCCGAGAGCAACATGCGATTCCAATATTATTCTATCTTCTTTCTCTTTCCACGCTTCTTTTGAAATTTCGGGGTTCAAGTGATTATGCCAACGTTCACGACACTGCTTACCAATTCTACCAGGAAGACTTGTTGCGATCAGTGACCACTTCTTGGCACCGTGCTTCTTCACAAGCTCAACTACCTTTCGATCCTCCTCCGCTGTCCATGGACCTTTGATCAAGGATNAAGCTCCAGGTACGTTGCGCAACGCAGCATGGCGTTCTTCTAAAGAGATTAGATGCACGGCGATGCGGAACGCTGGTCCGTGTGTCTTTGTGTTAGTTGCAGGATGCTTCGCGGTGGAATGCCCAGCGAGAATGATACGACAGTCATGACTCGCTTCGCTTCGTCTCGTCTCGTCTCGATTGTTTGGGTCCCCTGGTTCCTTGCACCCAAACACTCACCCGTCTCGAATGGCTTCTTTCACACAAACAAACAGACATCGACACCGCTACCGGATCGGTGGACTATGCTCCGACGTTCATCACCATCCTCGAAAAGGCCGTCGAAACCGTCGAGGAACAACGGCTCGAGCACGCAAACGACGCCGAGAGCCTCAAGGCGCGCCGGGCCATGATCGCCGATCGCGTCAGACACAACGTGCGGCCCGTCTCCAAAGAGATCACCGAAACGGCCGGGAGCTTTACCCACACCATGMACTCGGACGACGCCGTTGTGGAAGTGTGCGTCCGAGCCTCCAATGCCGGGAAGGAAAATCCGATGATGTTTCACCTGCGTGTGGAGGAACTGGAAGAAGACGTCSTCGACGCCTTTCAGCAAGAAAAGGCGAAATTGCTGAACAGCCCACCGCTGGTGAACGTCGAGCACCACTGGTCCTTTATGGAAACCCAGCTGAACCGAATAGATCACGAGATGAAAACCATCACAAGGGAGGCGGATTTCTTTCGGGAGCGGGATGCCCTGTACCACCAACAGACGGACGACCTCCACAAGGCAACCTTGTTTTGGCCGATGCTCCACTGCTGCATTCTTGCCCTGACGGGCTTTACACAGGCGAACCACATTATCAGTTTTTTCAAGCACCGACGGATCATATAGATCATATAGGAGGGCAGCACGGAAGTGTGAAACACAGAACAGTTGAGCACAGCACAGCATGGCACAGCACAGCATGGCACAGCACAGCATGGCACAGCACGAACTAGCGCAGTGCTGAGTTGTAATTCGAGTCACGGCAGTTGAAGCTAGAGTAGCTACAGGAGTACGAAGAAGTTAATTTTTCAGAGGGACTAGACAAAATCTAAGACAAAATCTAAGAATCGATGGGACTGTGATGGTATAGTTTTTAGATTTTATTGCAAACAGCATAATCCGCTSATCTGAATCACTGTTAGAATACGTTGTTCATAGTTCAGTACATTCAACGCAAACGACAGGAATGAGCATTAGTGCCGTACGCGTCAAACGACTGATGGCAGTGAAAAAGATACARAAACTACCGTTTTATTKTMATTTTCTTTCACCTCGTTGAAATTTGACAGCMATAGCCCATCAGAAATATCTGGTTCTCTATAATTCCTTCTTTTWAATTATGTTTMATCYCTTGTATGCAACATTACAATCATACAAGATAATAATTATTGTGTAAATATATGTTTTGTCCATCACCCCCCTTAGTGCTGAACATCAACCGCAGAATCAACTCTTTGCCGTTTAGGAGTCGACCCCTTTTTCGTAATATCCRCTGCCATGCTTTCTTCCTTAGTTGGGCGTTTGGTGCCTTGCTTGACCGATGACTTTGGTACCAGATTAGTAGAAATTTTCGTGAAAGGACTGCGTTCAAAAAGACGCTCTGATTTCTTTAATGACATTGGGTCTCCACTACCGATCGAAGGAGATTTAAACGGTGTAAAATCAGTGGTCTCTCCGCTTGGAGAAAACTTTCCCCAATCGAATCCAATAGGAGTCAATGGTCCAGAGAATGGACTCATTCCTGATATTCTGGAGTTGATTGAATTTTGTGTGACAGCCATAGGTGTTTGCCCGCCGGTCTTAAAAGGAGTAGTAGTAGCTGGATCTGTGACCTCAGCATTTGTATTTGACACAGTGTTTGTGACCTTACTTTCGTTTTCGTTTTTCTCGGCGAAGTGAATAGAACGAGTAACACTTTGTGGCATCTTATCGCATTTTAATGCTGACTCAAGACCAATATCGTCGGACTCTGCTGAGTATTTCTTGTATCCCTTCATTGACATGGGAGATATAGATACTCTATTCGATTTCATGCGTTTGATAAAGGCGCTATTTGAGGCAGCTCCAGTCATACCGATCGAAAACTTCATTTCGCGAGGAGTTTTGAGGTATTGACGGCCATCGTCATCAGCAAACAGAGCCTTGTTGAGACTGATATTTTCTTCAGGTGAGAGCCCATTGAACACTTCATCGTTTCCCCCATCATAGAAAGATTCAAAAGCACCACGCAGAGTAGACAAAGGAGTTGTCCCATGGATGTTCAATACATCAGGACTATTCAATCCCATCATGTGAAGATTATCTGTTTGCTTTGGAGAYAGGGGTGACGACTTCTGAGCACTTGTAAGAAATGACACCGCAGGATCAGGACTTTTGTCTAGCTTTGAAGTGGGAACAGGCACACCATAGTTGTACTTTCCATCTTTTGAAGGAGTCTTCGGTTTATCTACAGACGCTAGTGGTCTAGGAGCAAGCGGAATRTTTTTTCGTTTACTCCCTGCTTGAGGCTTTCCGTACGATGATGGTTGATATGGCATGAGGTTTTCTGAGCCTTGATGGGGGTATGCCATTTCACGTGCGTACATCGCATGGTGAGGRGGCATACCAGGATATGGAGGTGGTGCCATTCCATACGGCATATAATTGAGGGCCATCGAG